AAGCAAGGCCTTACCTTAAAACCAAAAAAAAAAGAGATATGGAGCTCATCAAGATGCATTTAATAGTAGTAAAAACATTAAAATTGGCCTGATAGTTCTTGAGAAATCTTTAAAAAACTTCTTTTTCATATATAAAATTTTTTTAGAAATTTTATATATAAAAAAAGGTTTTTTGAAGATTTCTCAAGAACTACTAGACCAATATTAATATTTTTACTACTATTAAATGCATCTTAATGAGCTCTACAACTCTTGTTAAAAGTCTAAGAGTAATTTATTTGGTAAAAAAAGTTTTATATAGAAGGGCTACACATTTATACTTTTAGTATAATTTATATATTAAAAAAAATTTTGTCTAGATATTTTATAGATTGCATATTAAGTAAGAACTGAGTTTACTTAGTACAATTTAGAGTAAATAGCAAAAAAAAAGAGATAAAAAAGTTTTAGCTATAGTTTGGTAAATTTGAGTTTATTTATAATATATTATATATCAAAATAATTGTATAGAGAAGCTGAATAAGTTTTTGTTAAGGAGCGTAAGTAGTTGATTTAATATAATTTTAAGAAAACTATGTTTGTAAGTTTTTGTGTTTTTAAGAGATTTTTGTAAATAATTTAATAAGTTTGCAAATATATTGTAGCTAGTGCTTCTACAAACTAGCTCAAACCAGACTTTAGTCAAGTCTGAGTCTGGTCTGATTTTTGGACCAGACTCAGACTTTTATATTCAACTTTTTAGTCAAGTCTGAGTCTGGTCTGGGTCTGGTCCGAAGTCTGCAGACTGGTTTGAGTCTGAATATATTTATATATATTTTTTGAAACTCTGAAACTATGCCAAAATTCTGAAACTTGAGAAAATTAAAAATTTAATAGTTTTATTTCATTTAATCAATCCCCTTACCAACTCTCTGACAACCTCTTCCTCAACACAATCACCTATCTGACAACTATTTATTTGACAAACATTTTTCTAACAACTATCCTATTTTCTATGCTACCCACTTATCTGATAACAATTGTTTTCCTAATAGCAATCCTTTCCTGACACTACCCTTCCTTCGATACTACTCTTTTCAAACACCATTCTTCCCCGATGCCACCTTCCCTAATACTCTCTTTCTAAACACCACCACCCTTCCCAACACCACCTTTCCCTTTACTGACTCCACTCATTTCAAATACCATTCTTTTAAACATTCTTTCTAAAACCTTCTTTTCAACATCAACCTTCTCTGATATCACCCTTTCTAATATCACCACTTCTCTGGCAACAATTTTCCTACAACCATTTCAATGCATTACACTTTTCCCGATATATTTGAAAATAATTATAAAATAAATAAATTATTAAACAAAAAAAATTAAAAAAATTACCATTTATTGTGGTTTGCAAAGTTATGTGAAATTTGAAGATCATGATTTCTGATTACTGATTTTTGATTTCTTCAACATTTTTTGACTTTTAGATTAGAAGCCACATTAATAAAATGAAATGAAAAATATCTCAACATAGCTTTTAAAGCACAAATTTTGTGCAGTTATTATTTTGTAAAAATTTTATTATTTTTATAGAAATAGAAGCTATATACTCATAATTTTGTAACATATTTGCAAAAATAGGAGTTGCAAATTAAAATATTTAATCAAATTTTTACAAATAATAAATGCGCAAATTTTGTCAAGTCTAAAAGTCAAAAAAAATGTTGAAGAAATCAGAAATCAGTAATCAGAAATGATCTTCAAATTTCATATAATTTTGCAAAACGTAATAAGTGGAAGCCTGTCAATGAAGTAACAGGGTGTACATTATTGCGAGATCAGATGACTTTATTTGGTCACATGTTTTTAAATTTGTTTTATCATTTTATAGCATTTTATTGATTGTTATGTATATTGTGTT